ATGCAATTTTAAGTATAATATTTTCAAATCTAATCTGAACAAATTCAAAACAAAAATCTATTTATAAAATTAGAATCTGAAATGATCTTAATTTTACATTATATATGAATTTTTAAGTAGTTCGCGCTAAAGCTTGTAATTTGCATATGAACTATTCATATAGCAGTTTTGAATTTGATTAGCAAATATCATAAGGAATATCTGGTTGGAATCATATTTATCACAAATTATAAAATGAACATAATTATTTAAGCACTTTTGCTATTTTAGATGTTAAATAAAAAGTTGATTAATAAAAATTTGTATATAAATAAAATAATATAAAAATAACTATAATTAAAATATAGCATTACTTTTATAAAACCTTGCTTAATTATTCCCACACATTTACATGGTTTAATTCATTTTCATCATAATGGTTGTCACCAATTTCTTCATCAATGAATACATTATCATTAGCGAATGGATTATTTTCTTGATTTTCTAAGGGCAGTTCTTGAATTTCATCATCAGTCACAATAATTTGATTAGAAGATAAATTATTTAAACGATCATAATCAAAAATCATATCGTTTTCTGATCCATCTTGATTATTAGAGATACCGCAACACTTGAATAATTTTCTGATTAAAGACTCATCAACATTTTCTCAAGAAACTCAAATCCATTCCACAAGTGTTTCATATGATGGTTGTTTAATCTTGCCAGTTTTTGTATATTCTTTTATTTCATCTGCCATCCAAGAAATATATTGTTTTCTCATCTAATTAAATAATAACAAAATAATTAATAAGTTTATTATATTGATTATTAATATATATAGTAATAAGAATTAATCTTACCTTAGCTTTAAATGATCAATTTATAGAAACATCAAGAGGTTGAAGTTTTGAGGTTAAACCTTCCGGAATTATAGCAATATTAGTTTTTTGTTCTTTAAAATTCTATTTTACTGGATCTGATATATGCGCTCTAAATAAATCTATAATTAACAATGACTTTGGTCTAGAAGAAAAACGGTTTGACCAAATATTATGAATCCACCATATCATCTTAGTTTCATTCATCCAACCAGTCGAGTGTGCTCTTACAATAACATTAGAAGGAAAATTTCTACATGGGATATTTTTGAACTTAAAAATAACCAACAGAGGTAATTTTATTCCATTAGATATACAAGCCGGAACTACAATAAAATGTGATTTTTCATGGCCTGTTGTTAAAATATTAATTGTACGATTACTATGTTCATCAATAGTTAAATTCCCTGAAAGATTCATAGTAAGGGGTTTCATTAACGTGCCTATCAACCTTAATTCATAATTATGTTGAATTCGTTTGTATAATACATAAGATAAGAATTCATGCTGCAATTCAATCATATCTTCTGGTAATCTTTGCGAAGTAGTTGTTCGTTGATGAGTACTTCCATCAATCTATTTATAGAAAAACATAAATGATTCTATGTCCAGATATTTATTAATCCATGCTAATTGTTTAGCTAATTCTTTTGCCTTTAACTGTATCATGCATCTAGTAACTTGCTTTCCTCTTTAACAAAGTTCTTTAACCCAAGATACAAGAGACTCCTCTAACTCAGGGTATTTTTCCTTGGCTCCGCCTCCTAAACATTTTATATGAGGTCTTGCTTGCATCAACATCTCTTTCTTTTTTCGCCAATCACAGATTTGTTTAGGTTTAACATTAAATTTTGCAGCCGTAAGACGTTGTAGTATGATTGCTTGGCTTAACTAAATAATGAATATTATAATAATAAAATGTGTCATCGCCAGTTAAATCAAACAAATATATTACTTGACTTAATGTATAAGAGTGGTTAAGGAATGTTTTAAACAAAGAATGTTCACAGACAAGCTGTGGCCCGGAGAGCTTCTAGTTCTTCGAATCTTATTAACTAATACTATTCACAACCAAATTCTAATTTTTTTTTGCCTATTATTCATTTGAAGATTTTATAACATATTATAATGATAGTTCAAAAAATACCAAATTATCAGTCTAGATAAATTTATACCAAATTTTTTATACAAAATGTATAATGTTTTAATAAATTTTAAATCTTTCTTATTTTTAATCCAATTCTCTATATTCTTAAATATAATTGTTGGTTCAAATCTACTATGGCCGCTCTAAAAAATTTTCAAAATTAATTTATTAAAATTATATAAACTACAATATAAATTATATAATGTTAATTACCTGAATATACTTTTTGAATGCTTCAAAAATTTCATATTTTCAAATTAGACATCCTATAAACTAGTGATTTGAACCGAGACAATTTTCCTTAATCGGTTAACCGAACCGAATCATTTTCATTCAACCAGTTGCCAACCGGTTAAGATTAATACTCTACTACCTTCAGAAATTCTCGGAGCTTTACATTAATTTTTGTTCGTCCATTTATTTCTTCGGAACTTTTCGGAACTTTTCAGGACATTTACTCTCTCCTTATTACATCATTTTGTCATTTTCAGATCCCACCAGCCGGTTGTACCGGGTCAACTGATTAAGAATTTCCTCAACCGGGTACCCGAAATTTATTCGGTACGGGTTGGTTAACCGATTATAGTATAACCGATTCAAGTCACTACTATAAACTATTGGGCTTTGAAAAATAATATAATAATAACTAAAATATTATAGCACATCTTCTTAAAGCTATCCTTACAGTGTAAAAAAATTGAATATTTCCATTTTATCTCTTTATTTCTGTAAAATCTCTGTGAATCTATAGTGATAGAATATGGATTAATTTTTTAAAGTTATACTAGAATACATCAATTTAATATTTTATAAAAATTAGCGACAATACTATACTTACAAGGCACTTTGCAAACAAACATAATTACAAAAAGAACCCCACAAATCGATATATATAAGAAGTTTAAAGATCAATTTAGGGAATTAGACACACATACGAGAAGCTCTTACTCAAATCATATTTGTACATACATATGTTGTACGTATATACGTATATACATACGTGATATCATGTGATATAATAGCGCCAATCATACTTTATTTTCTATGACCAATCATATTTATTTAAAATATTATTCAATATACCCCTTAAAATTGTACCCTTCTCTTCACACAGTACCCCCTGAGTACAAATCAAGTTAATCTGGGTGGTTTTGATATATACCTCGGGTACTGTATATAGTGCTCTACAGTAGTTAGGACTTTATTTACTTTGATATTTAAAAATACATGTATTTTTAAGTTTTCAAATTATTAATTTTTATTTTTTTTATTATTATTATTTTTTTTTAACATCTACCCTCTTAAAAGCTAGGATTTTTATTCAAGTATATTTAGCAGGGGATTCTCTTAAAGAACTCCTTATATTAGAAAGTACATACTAGCCACACGTACACTTTTGGTGTCTATTTTAAGTAGTCTGCCTGTATATTATATAGGTTCCATACTAGATGCTGTACCTGTAACCCAACTATGGGTGTTACCCATTTAACCCTCTGTAATATAGCTAAACCTGTATCACCAGGACATCTTTGTTATATTCGTCAGTCAAAAAATTCCAGATGCTTTATCTCCGTTATCCTTAGGACTAATTTATCCTCTAGAGATTGACACTAGGGTGGTCCAAACCCACAATCCGGATTCACCTAGATTCAGTAACTTTACACCGAGTCCAAGGACAAGTACTTACAAGCATGAAGCCGCTACCAGTTACCTACTACCCCCTTGTAGAGTTCATCCAAACCCCAATTCCACTTTACAGACTCACAACCATGTCTCCAACTATTCCAAACTACCAATCCTGATAGCCTGAAAGGGGTTTACCTTCTGGTATTTGCAACTAAGCAGATCCTTTTCTTCCAGTTTCGATGGACTCGGTTCCGGCGGCCTGGTTGGTAAAGTGCCTTGCTATACACTGGTCCCATTCAGTTTTTGCCGGTTATCTGGTGATAATCTTTTATATAGTACCATCGAATATCTGTGCTACCTCTTTACTCGGGTTTTGCCAAGTGGGCATCTATCTTTCTGGTTCCTTGGGTTTACAAATTATGAATTTTTATTTAGAAGAATAACTATAAATAATTTAAAAAATTTTGAGTTATTCTATTTTTTTTCTAATTTTTATAAGTGTAATCTTTAGGGTTTTATTGATATAATCAGCAGTATAGTCAAACCCTTCTATAGTTATATCTTTGGGATACAAAAAACTGTGATTAGATGTATTTTCTATATACATAGTTATAAATAATTGATAAAAATAAATTCATAATTATATTAATTATATTAATTTTGTAACTATAGAGGAGGTGACTATAGAGGGGGTTAACTGAAACTATTCAACTTTGAATGGCATAGGAGTTTTTGACATTAATAAAAATGTTTTTATCTCATCAATATCTGCTAAACCACAAAAATTATTTCATAATAGCTTTTTTCTCTGCTTTGTAAATTGTCTTAGTGTTAGTACTAGAAGTGTAGTTATAAAATAATGAAGTACATGGTTTCAGATTTACTTATTTCTGCAAAGAATACAAATCACATGCCAATAGCAAATATTTATTTGTTGTTATTTTTTTCACTAATAGTGAAATTAGACCAAAGTTAAAGTTGGGCATAATATGGTAATGATTCATTTTTTTATTTTATTCGTTCTAAATTAGGAGATACAACGTCAAAATCAAGAAATTTGAAT